TGATCTCGCCGCCACGCTGGAAAACAACATTTTGCTCGCTCGCGGGTTTGTGGCAACATTTCTCGGGGTGTAACTCTTGCTTGGTTGCTTGCGTCCATGTGCGCTGTTCACGTTTTTTTATGGCAGGGCGAGGCAGTGGTTCGCTGCGGCGCCGACGCTACCTCGATTGCGGTACTACCTCCGGACGCGCCCAACCGGTAAGGGCCAGGCCGCCCCGCCGATGCCGTGTATTGAGCCGCGTGTTTGTGCGTACCGGAACAAGCGTAGCTGCCTGCCGTGTTTGTGTGGAAACTTGTGCTGCTGGTACCACTACCGCTGTGACAAAGTGGTTCCGTATAGTCCGTAACCGTGCCGACTGCTGTACATCATGCTGTACGCTCGCTATGCTTACAAAGATAGAATCGCCGAGTTCGTGTCACTAATTTCATCGTCGGTGTTGTTCGATTTTCGTTTATTTTTTTGTGGCTCTTGTGGTTTGCGTTATTGTTCTTCCTCAACACTCCCGTTCCTAACCACGTACCCCCATCCTCCCTGGTTGCCCCTCTCCCTTGTACCTTGTCAAAACTTTCTTTCTACTCCATCTTTGCCGGTTGCGGCATCGTAGATCTATATCCTGCGCATTCGACCATGTGTTCGGTGGTCACGCTAGCCAGGAGGACGTGTTCAAGGAGGTGTCGAGCTTCGTGCAGTCCGCGCTGGACGGGTACAAGGTGCGGGTCCCCGCCGATTGACATTTGTCATCTTTCAGGATGTTTTTTTTTTACGACGACGACAACCATTTCGTGTATTTCGTTCATTCTGTTTCTGTTGCTGGTCGACCGTGTGTTGGGACTAGTTCATGAGTTCACGCTCCTGTTCTTGGCTGGTTGCTCAGGCGTTTCATTGAGCGGTTTGTATCTCTACCAGCAACTGCCCGAAGTGTCTTCTGCCCTCAAGCAGGAGACGCTCCGCGATACCGCCGGAAAATGGGGATGGACAAACTACGGCCGATCTTGCAGAGCTGCTACATTTTCACTTTGCCAGATGTAGCCTTGCTTCGCCTCTTCGAGTACCGTGTTCTCAGTCGAACGCCATTGTTTGGTCGTGCGTGCGTGAGCACCAGCCCACCCAGTATTGCGAGGGTGCTTCGGATGCGTCACCACAGGTTGTGGGGTGTTGTCGTGTGGTATCGTTTGATAGGCATGCCTGTTCGGCTACAGTATCCCATCATGTGGTGTACTTCGGATCTCTATCAACACAAGATGTTGTCGTGTGGTGTCGTTTGATAGGTGTGCCTGTTCAGCTACCGTATCCCATCATGTGGTGTGCTTCGGATCTATCAACAATATATGTTGTCGTGTGGGTGTCGTTTGATAGGTGTGCCTGTTCAGCTACGGGCAGACGGGCAGCGGCAAGACCCACACCATGACGGGCTCCGGGACCGGGATGATGAGGGGCATCGTGCCCAGGGCGGTCGAGCACATCCTGGCCAGGGTCGGGGAGCTTCAGGTGTGTGGGTTGCTCCCTTGCGTTTCTTCGGCTAGCGTCCACCAAGCTGACCAACGGGCAGACGCTAAGTCTGTGTGTGTGTGTGTGTGTGTGTTTTGTGTTTTTTTGCCTTCACTTCAAATCAGCGCTCACAGCACTAGTGCCGTTTACTCCTCTCACAGCACTAGTGCCGTTTACTCCTACCCGTGGTCACACAGAAGAGCCCCTCTCTACCCTCCCATTCTGCGGTACTTTGCCTTCGATTTTTAATGCGAGAAGAGGTCAGCACTCTCTTCCCTCTGTGTACACACGAACTAGCGCTATCCACTAGGCCAAGAGCGGAAGCGAGAGAAAAACTCACTTTGCAAGAAAAGCTCGCCTGCGCCGGGATTCGAACCCCTGACCTGACCTCTAGAAGGTTTCGAGGATACCAACTAGACCACCGGGGCGACCGACTATGTGTGTGCTCGAGAACTGGAGCGTATTCCGTGTTTAAACTAAGAAGACGCTTTTGCTGTTGCTGTTGTTGGTGTTGGTGTTGGTGACGGTCATGCGGTCACGCAATCGTAGAGGTAGTCGATACCCCCCCACACACACACACACACCTGGGTTGAGACCCTTCTACATAGCGCTAGGGACTATAATAGTGTAGGCTCGGCATTGTTTTGTAAAAGCTGAGGAGCATATCACTGGTACTTGAGCAGCGAGCAAGCGGGGGGGGGGGTGGCGCGGAGACGTACATGCTTGTATCGATCTGCTTGATGGGGATTGGTGGTGAGATTTGGTGTTGAAAGCTTTCGAGCGTTCTTCCGCCGCCGACCTGACGCTCAGCCGTCGTGTCCCCTTGTCCCGCCCTACCCCGCCTCGCTGCTTGTCTCCTTTCTGCCAACGACCAAAACGCCACGCCTTCGTGTGGAAAACCAAAACGTCCAAAACAACGAAACAACGCTTGTGTTCCCGTGCCGTGGTGTCTCGATCTTCGATCCACCGAAACGACAACAACAGGACGGCCCCTGGAAGTACGGCGTGCAAGCCTCCTTCCTCGAGATCTACAACGAGGAGCTGCGCGACTTGCTGGTGGGGCACGGCGGCGGCGGCGGCGGCGACGGCTCCTCGGCGAAGCTGTCCATCAAGAAGTCCGCGGGCGGGGGCACCGAGGTGTCCGGTCTCACCAAGTACGACATCGACACCGGTAAGCTGCTCTTTGTGATGGTCGTCATTGTTGTTGGTGTGATTCTTGCTCGAAAGTACGTTCTGGTCGGCGCACCCAACGCCCCCTCTGCTGTGCAAGTGCATACGACGGTGGCAACAGGGGGCGAGGGGGGCGGGTTTCGGAATCAATTCAATACAGTACCTTGGTGGGGAGGTCGAGAAAACACCTGCGGGGGGGGGCGGGGCGGGGCGGGGCGAACCGAACGTCCCAGTGGACGAAGTGCTAAATGCATTCACCACACGTGTGTCAGCTCCATTCAGTGCCGTAAATACATGATGGCGCGAAGAGCAAACGTACAACGTTACCGTTCGAGGTGTTGCAACCGGTGGTGGCAACGGGAAGGCTATTCTATCCTCACCAATCGTAATTCACGGCCTGTCGCAAAACTATTGTGTTCGGCTCAAGTGGACGGCATTCATGCACTCACTTTCTTGTGCCTTCTTCTTGCGTGGTGTGCTTTATTGCCGTGCCGTCATTGATATGCCAAAAAAATATAAAACTACCAGACGACCAAGACCAAGGACTGGTGGAGCTGGGTGAGATAATGCGCGCGGCACAGAGGAGCCGTAGCGTCGCGTGCACGGCCATGAATGCCGAGTCTTCGCGCAGCCACAGCGTGTTCACCCTGTGGCTCACGGGGGTGGATGCGTCTACGGGCACGACTCTCCAGGTGCGTTTGCCGCTGCTGCGTGGTTTGCGCACGTGTGGCACAAACAGATACTTCTACAACGCAACACAACAGCAGCAACAGCGTGCCCAAGCCACCCCTCCTTCACCGCCGAGAAGATTAACTTTGGAGCAGTTCCACACCCCCGCTTCGCTCTAACTCTGCGTTTACTTTCCGAGCCAGAGAAGCTTTCGACCTCGGAATGAAATTCCAAAGCATCCGATTCCCCTTGCGTTTTTTCCATGGACGTACTCATGAAGCAACGGCGTCCCTCATCACGGACTGTGCATGAATCACACGTCAGTTTTACTTGAGTCTAGATGAACTCAAGGAAAAGGAACAAGTTCTGTTTTCTTCACGATTTTTTTTTTCTTCCGCAGGCTTCCCTCAGACAAGTATGCCAGCATTTACTTCTGGAGATTGTTCGAACCGCTACATGTTGTACGCACACAGTTGCACATCTTTCGCCCCCCCGCCTCTAAGGTCAATGGTCAAGCGACTGCGGCATGCACGACTATGAGTACCCCCCCCCCGGGGAATTATAGAGGGATAACCCTGTTGAGCACAGTGGGGAAACTGTTTGGCAAGATGATAGACAATAGAATGGGAATAGAATGGGAGACATGTTGGAGGGGAAACAAAAGATCAGCGAAGGACAAGCTGGATTTAGACCAGATCGTAGTTGTGTAGACCATGTATATACGTTGAGTAAAATCATCCAAGGTAGGAAAGACGCCGGGCGTACGACATACTGTTTCTTCCTCGATATACAAAAAGCCTACGACACCGTATGGCGCAATGGATTGTGGAAAAAGATGTGGGACATCGGCATCCGGGGGAAAATGTGGAGGATGTTGAAAAAGATGACAGAATGCACAAGAAGTGCGGTGATGTTGGATGGGGAAATTTCGAAGTACGTGGATATACTCCAAGGAGTCGCACAGGGCTGTACGATGTCACCCACTCTTTTTAAGATTTACATCAACGATTTGATAAGGGCGGTTGAAGCAGTAAGACAGGGAGTCCAAGTAGAGGGAAAGAGTGTGTCCGGACTGATGTTTGCAGATGATTTCGTGGGGGTATCCGAAACACCAGAAGGGTTGCAAGAACAAATAGATGCGGCGGTAGGATACACCCGAAAATGGAGACTGTCGGCGAACGTAGGGAAATGCGCAGTAGTGGTCTGTAACGAAGATAAGAAAAATCCCGTAGAATTCAAATGGAAATGGGGGGAGGAAGAACTACCGGTAGTAGACAAGTATACGTACCTGGGAGTAGAGATTTCGAAGGAGTGCTCATGGGACGCACACATAGCGAAGTTGATTGGGAAGAGTAAAGCTCAGATAGGCAAGATGGACGAGATCCTTACGGACCCACACCTAGACACTAGGATTAAGAGGTGTATTCTCTTGAAGGTGATTGTACCTAAGCTAGAGTATGCAGGAGAGGTATGGGAAGGTAACGAAAAGGCCGTCAAGCAGCTGGAAACGGTGCAGATGGCAGCGGCCAAGAAAATACTAGGATGTTCAAGTACAACGAGCAACACTGTATTGAGAGCAGAATTGGGAATGTACTCTCTTAAAACAAAGAGAGACATGCAGAAGTTGAATTGGCAGTACAAGGTAAGTAGAATGTCGGACGATAGACTACCAGCCATGGTTGACGAGGCAGCTTGGGGAAAAGCGACTCCAGGGAAGAAGGGAATCAGATGGGACAAGGTGGTAGAGAAGGTTTGGAAGGAGATAGGAGACGAGGAGGAGACGTTGGACACAGAAGGGTTCGGGGGGTTCAAGACGAAAGTCAAGGAGATGCTAGAGAGTAGGGAGGAGGCAACCCTTCGGAAGAAGGTACGAAGCGAAGACCACTTGGAGATATACGGGAAGTTGAAAGAAGGGATAGGGATGAAGAAGTACTTGGACGGCCCCATGGACTATGCGAAAAAGCTGAAATTGCAATTTCGAGTAGGCGATCTGGACTTGCCAGAACGGAGGAAGAGGTATACCAGCCGTAGGAGAGAGGAAGAGGAGGATAGACACACATGTCCGTGTGGCAAATCGGAGGAGAGTAGACCCCACATAGTTGGGGAGTGTGAGTTGTACAGGAAGGAAAGAGAGGATCTCGAGGAGGAAATGAGACAGAGAGGGTGTGACATGGACAAGTTTGGTAAATTAGACAACAGCGAAAAAACGATCGCGATAATTGGGGATAGATGGTGGGCACAAGAGGCCCTAGAGGACGGGGATAAGATGTGCAAGAAATTTTTATGGAGTTTGTGGCAGAAACGTAAAGAGCTCCCAAATGTTGGTGGTGTCTCTAGTAGGTGTAGGAACGGTGCTCCGTCTCGAAAGGGACGCGTGGTCAATGGTCAAATGACTACGGCAAGCAACAAATGAGTACGCTCCCCCCCCCCCCCGACCCCTTTTATTTTTCCCTGAAGGGTGTATCATGCATGGTTGTTTCTGCCTCCCCTGAGCAACAAGTGCAGCAGCATGTCGACTGTTCTTGAAATGGAGCCCCGGATTAGTACGTGCATACAGGTATCACTGCAAAACCGGACCATCACATAGACATGCTGAAAATCCCTCTCCCCGCGTATGACCCATCCCCCCCCCCCTACCTGTCTATCGACATGCCTCGCCGGACAATCACGTGGCGCGACAGGGGGTCCTCCACCTGGTCGACCTTGCCGGCAGCGAGAGGCTGGACCGGTCCGGTGTCGGGAACGACGCCCAGCGGCTGAGGGAGACGCAGGCGATCAACAAGTCCCTCAGCTGCCTGGCGGACGTGTTCTCCGCCCTCTCGGCCAAAGCGTCGCACGTCCCCTTCAGGAACTCCAAGCTCACCTACCTCATGCAGGTGTGTGTGTGTGTGTGATTCTTGTCTTCGAGAAAGCATCGACGTCGGCACTGTAACCGGCTGACCAATGACAAGACAGCAGTGTTTTTTTGGCCTACCCTGTGGCGGTGTTGTTGCCGTGCCGGCGGCAGGGCGTGCGCCTGTGTCTGTTTTACGTTCATTTTGAAGATGTGACATGTGATTTCGTTCTTGCTCGCCTTCACGAACTGCACACAGCTTGTATCCGTGTCTGATTTAACCTCTCACATTGGCCGGTGGCACTCGTTTCGCAAAACTTGGCCTCCCTTCGCATTGTAACACTGTGAGCGTGAACGCATATACATACAATAAAAAACGCGCGTTTCTCTCTCGCACGTGCGTGTACGCTATGGTACGGCAGGACTGCTTGTCGGGGGACGGGAAGGCGCTCATGTTCGTCAACCTGTCTCCGACGGCGGCGTCGGCGAACGAGAGCGTCTGCAGCCTCCGCTTCGCCAACC